CTCATTCTCTAGTTCACACTCTGCTCTCTGAGCACCATTCACCCTGGCTTCCTACTTATTCTCCCTGCCACAGGGCCTTTGCATGAGCTTTCCCCCTGCTGTGTTCCCCTTTGTCAGCACTTCCCCAGGATGGCTTCTGGCACTCTCACCTCAGGTGATTGCATCAGTCCTTGGTGATGCCCCGTGCTGTCTTCTGCCTGTGGTTGGATGCTTACCTGTTACCGCTCACAGAAGCACGTTTGCTTCTGTTACTGGTTTAGTTACTGGGGCCTATCTTTGCCACTGACCATATACTGCATGAGGGCAGGTGCTGTGTCTGATTTACTTACCTTTTCTTCCCCAGTAATTATGGGGTAAATATTAGAAAAAATAAATGCCAGTGCCTATAGGGAAGTAAATAGAAGGCTGGAACTGGAGTTCGTGTGTCTTCACTTGCAGGCCAGAGTGTTTCGCTTTTCACCAGGGGCCCAGAAGGAACCCCCTGACGGACACCAGCTTTGCGGGTGGTCTGGGGGGTCCCACCATTAAGATCCAATAATGGTAGCCTCTCTCCATCTTATAGTGTTAAAAATTGGCCAGGATGGGGGGCAGTGGAGGTAAGATATTAAAAGCAGCTCATTTTCTCCCCCATCAATTTTTCTTTAACTTTTGGCACCTGCTGCTGTTTACTTAGATTTTGGTGTGAACATTTGTTTAGCCCAGCATTATATAGACATGTTGAGTTTACTTTGTAAACAGTTGGTGGGGCTCCTTCAAAGAATGCCAGGAGTGCCAGGTACTCAGTCATCCCTTCAAACTCAGGAGAAAACGAATTCCTTATCCCTGGTGTGAGTCCTACCTGCCCTTCCATGATGGGGAGCCCCAGACACAGGGGCATCTGAAAGCTGTGGCTCCTCTCCTAGAGTAATAACCTTTATAAACAACACTTACACAATGTAGTCTTTATGCTGTAATGTCCTGTATGAATTACTGTTCTGAGCATTCTTCATATGTCAGCCTTTGTGATCTCATAACAAACCTGTGAAGTTCTCTTGTCTTATTCCAGTTTTATAGATCAGGAACTGATGCACCGTGGAGAGCAGTAACTTTCCCACAACTGAACAATGGCCAATCTAGACTCACATTCAGACTCACCAGCTCTAGGGTCCAGCTCTCTCTCTCTGTATATGTTCCCATACTTCCTGTATCAGGAGGGTCAGACCGCAGGGGCTGTGGTTGGCTATTGCATTGGACTTTGGCCTGTTGGTTAAGAAACCCGGACTTGTAGCCCCCAGCTCTTTCCACTCCATCCATCATTCTGCTTTGATTTAATCACAATCCATACTAGCAGTTCAGTAGCCAGAAGGCCTGGCTCTAGAAAGTCCACTCCTATGTACTTTTCCTGCTTTACCCTTCAATCCCATCATTCTCCAGTGTTTAGCTGTTGCTTATTACCTTCCCAACTGTCACTTTATCCAAGTTCAACTCTTCCTGCTATTGTTTTAAAATTTAGATTAAAATTCATATATTTATTTATTATTATGGTATTACTTACTTACTGTTTTCTCTCAATCAACTCACTTTATTTTAAATAAACAAGTTGGTTTTAGAAGAACTTTTTACACCATAATGGAAAGATCTGTGCTATTTGACATGGATAGACTGATGTTAAAAACAAAACAAAACAAAACAAAACTCTATAATCTGGGCTGGCCGATTGGCACGTTGGTTAAGAGCTGGCTTGGGTCGCCAGCTCTGAGCAGCAGGACCCCAGTTCAGATCCCACATGTGGGCCAGTGACACTGCCCTCTACAGTTAAGATGGTGAACAACAGCTCAACCTGGAGCTGGGCTGCCATGAGTCACTGGTATCGGTGTAGGCTGCAGTCCCTGCTGCAATGGGCTGCCATAAGCTACCGTGAGTGGCTGGCAGCCAGCATGAACGGCTGGTAGTCAACGTGAGCGGCCGTCCAATGACTGGCGACCAACTGCCTCACCCGGGAAGAGCGCAATGATCACAATACGAACATGGGCCAGTTAAGCGACGTCCTCCACAACTAGACTGAAGAACAAAAGGACAGCAACTTGTCTGTTCTTCTTCTCCGATTCCCCAGCGCTGTTCCCCTCCCCCAATAAAATCCTAAAAGAAAAACTCTATAATCTATGAAAATAAACCCAAGTTACCAAAGTTATTAAACTCTAGCATAATACTTACTCTTGTGTAAAAGGAGGAAATGACTATCAAGCTAGTGAGGAGGGCATATTTGCACCAAACTGAGATTTTATTGTCAAAGATGTGACCAAAGGATAGAAATAATCAAGAAAAAGGACAGTCATTTTTCAGTGTTTTAGTGAACTCAAAGCTCGTACTCAACACTTAAGGTCTCCTCCCAAGTGTTAGAGCCACACCTACCCTGGCTGTTGTCCCTGCCCAATACACCTTTTATTTATGGGCAGGTCAGTATTGCTTTAAAATTGAACTCTGTCTGAAAATAGAGCACTATACCTGTGTGGTCGCTCTTCTCTGCTGCACTTGAGCTCCATCCGTGTTTGTAGAAATGAGTTTGACAATAACTGACACTGAGTGTGCACATGCTGAATTCCTGGCACTGTGTTAAATGCTTTTCGTCTGTGATTTCCTTCAGGTGTCCAAGCAGCCTTGTCAGGCTGGCCCCATTTGAACAATAGTGGAAACTGAGGCACAGAGAAATGGAGTAACTTGCCCAAGATCACAGCACTGTTATGTGACAGAATGGGATTCCAACCCAAACCTGTCCATCTCTTGAGCTCCTGGCTCTTAATGCATTCTGTATTTTGCAGTGACTACATTTGGTGCATCTTGTTTTGAAACAGAGCCGTTGTTATCAGTGGTCATCAGAAAATTGTTCCATGATAGCTAGGAAAGTTCTCTCTTCCAAATTTTATGTGTAAATAAAAATATAAGCCACTTTCGGAAGGGAGGTGCATGCGTGTAGCATGCTGTGTGCTCTAGAGAGAAATACTGTAAAATGAAAAATGAGATTAATGTTTCAGATTGTACAGTTTCCTAATTATGCTTTTAATTATTCATATAAAACAAGTAAAATGACCCCTGACAGAGAAATAAATGATTTAGGTAAAATCAAATATTTATAAGATGCTGGGAGTCCTGGGTGTGTTGTAACAGATGCACTCAAAATGCTTTGTTTTCGTCCTTTCAAATGTAAAATAATATGTATAAAATTTATAACAGGCTGAGTGTAATCAATAGCATTTAAGACACTTCTGAGCTAATTCATAGGTATTTTGATTTTGGACTTAAAGGTATTTGAGTGGTTTAATTTAATATTTTATCTTCTAAAATATATTGTATTTTAGAGATCACCAATGATATCCCCACCCTCTTGTCTCGATATTTTTTAGTGGTTGAAAACAAAAAATAAAAAGGGGAATAATATTCCATGACACGTGAAAATTATATTTAAATTTCAGTGTGGATAAATAAAGTTTTATACGCATAGCCTGACCCATTCATGTATGTATTGTGTTTCGCTGCTTTTGTGCTACAAAGACTAACTGAGCTGAGTAGTTGCATCGGAACCATAGGACCCACAAAGCCTTAACCATGTGCTGTCTCACCCTTTACAGAAAAAGTTTTCCAACGCTTGTTCTAAAACTTGCCTAGCACACAATAAAGATGGGAAATGCCATAGTAGCATGTTTAGTCAGAGTAAGAAACACTTGCTTTTACTTTATTTTATCCTTTAATTAGCTGTCCCACTAATTGAACATTTATTGTATATTTTCAAAAGTTCGAGAAAAACTGCCTTTTGGATGCAATAAAGAGGGATTATTTATATGAACATGGTTCCTTCACTTGCTTTTAATCCTTCCTTTATATAGAGAAGTGTTTAAGATAATTGCATTGTTTTAGAAATAGGTTATTAGTCTAGTCCTTATGTTTTACGGAGACCTAATTTTCATGCAGGATTTTTCTGTAAAGCTTGAACTGGAATTTCTTTAGGAGAGGACACAATTAGGATAGAAAAGCTTTTCCTTGGTGTCAGTAAACTTGGCTTTTGATCAGGAATCATTCAGTGTATTCATTGGCATCTCACATTTATTTAGCAACCAATAAGTGTTTGTTGAATGAATGAATGAATTCACCTTAGAAAGCAAAATTGAGGGGGGGATGGAATCACTTACATAAAGTCTGTTTTTTAGGCATTTGGATAGTAACATTCCTTTTGGAAAACCTAATTTTCTGTTAGTACAAGTCAAGTTATTCTTGATTTCTCATTCCCATGTTTCAAGGTAGAGGGGTGTGTTCTTGAAATTTAGGGTTTGAATTGATTGAGGTTCCCTATGGACATTGTGGACACTCTTACGTGTTCTTTCGGATAGGCCAAGGGAATTTTCTTAAACTTGGAATGAATAGAAACAGTAAAGTAAATCTAGTTATCTGCAGTTACTTGAGTGACTTAATGAGTAGAATTTTCACTGCATTTTTTCCTGGGCACCATTCACCATTTTCAAATATGATGAATGCAATACTCAATCCCTGCTGCCTTGTCAGTGTTTTTGCCAAGAACCTGCACATTTTATTTTCTGATATCTTGCTTCAGTTTTCTGATAAAAACAACATGCCTCTCACATCTGCCTTACATTACATATTTCCCATCTTGGGGTAGTAGCCCCAGGAATGTCATTCTCCAAATAACTTTGATTATCAAGAAGATTGAGGAGACCCTGATTCAGTGACTTACTCTGTCATTGTCCCCAGTGGTTTCCATCTGTTAAATGGATATGAAATTCTGAGACCATTCCCTGGGAATTTTCATGATTTAGAGTCAACTGGTGCTTGAGAGCATTCTGCAACTAGAATGTGCTAATTTATTCAAACTAGTTTTTGACTTGTTTTTTAGCAGGTATGTAAGGAAATAATTCACATCACGCAATCATGAACTTTATCTGAAGCAACATAAATCTTTCAATTTTGTTTTGAAACTCACTTTATTTCCCCCCCCCTTCCATTTTACACAGTTGCCATCCTTCTAAAGGACGACTATTTTGTCAGCGGTGCTGGCCTCCCTGGCAGATTCAAGGCTGAGAAGGTAGAATTTCACTGGGGCCACAGCAACGGCTCCGCGGGCTCTGAACACAGCATCAACGGCAGGCGGTTTCCTGTTGAGGTAAGAGAAACTTAAGATGTCAAAGTGCAGCTGTGCGTTGGGTCTTTACATTAATGAGATGCTTTGTCTTTACTGCCAGTCATTTTGCAAATCAAACTCATACCGTCCCTACCTTTGCCTTTGGAAATCTTTTATGTACACACAACATAACAGGTGAATATCCATCCTCAAGTTTCTCGTCTTTGTTTACCTGGAGAAGAATGTAGACATCACGGACATCATGGTTTTAGTAGGTTCACCTCTGGTCACTGATTTTCAAGTATTTGTTTCATTTGACGGGTTTTCTTTTCCCTCTCGATTTCTGAAACCCTGCTTTTTAAAGGTGAAATTCTGTATGAAACTCAGATGACTTTATTTTCACCCTTTAGAAAAGAGAAAAGTTAGTTGGTACATAAAGAACAGCCTCAGAGCATTCTCCCAGTAGGGAAGCTGTTTTGAGGTTTGTTGGCTCCTGTGAGCTGATGAAAAAGAGTACTTGGTCATTGGTGGTATGACTCCTTGGTAACTTTGCTGAGATTGATAGTGATACTTTGCCTCCCATGTATCAATTTTCAGAAAGATCCGTGCTGCTATACAGAAGAAAGGTGTGGGTGCAGTAGGTCACGTGTATCTTTTTAGTGAAGGACGGAGGGGTGAAGAGCAGGTCCCCAGACTCCTTTATGAGTGCTGGATGGGGACAGAACACCCCTTCCATCGCTAAACTTATTTTTACCTTTCATCGTGATTAGGACGTGAAAATTCTTTTGTTCGGACACACTTGTTTGCTGATTGTTTGGTTCTCCATGTGGTCAGCTTTACAGATTCATGGAAGAGCAGGATGGGTGTACATTCAAGCCTATGGTTGGACTTGAGTATGGAGTGACAGCTCGTAGTGTTTTATAACTTCTATTAAGTCATGACCTACTTTGATAATCTGATGAATACTTGAGACCTCCCCTTCTTAGAGGAAATACATGTATGTACACACAGATTGGCACATCATTTATAGGATTTCCTCCCTTACCCTAGCTCCGCAAGGCCATTCACGGAATCTTTAGGCTTCCTCAGACCTTAGGGGACGATCCCTACAAGATGAGAAAAATCAGTAAATCAGTTTGTTTGTAGACACCCATATTCACAGATAGATTTGTTTCTTATCTGTAATTACTGGAGAAACCAGAAATCTAAGAAGATGCTTCATATTTTTTCTTGTGTAGCTGAGAAATTCTCAGTATGAAAATTCTTCTCAAATGAGGATTCATCTATCTGTGGGACTTCCTGTCCTACTCACACTAATTCTAAGTCTCTTGAGGAGGGTTTTTCTAAATGGTCTCTTCTCCTCCCTTTACATGGAAGGAATGGATCATTTCTTAGAAGTCTTACTCTCTTTGTACTTGGAAAACTTGATTCCTAGAAGCGAGTTTGCATCATGTTTTTAGGTTTGGGTTTTCCCTTCTGTTCTTGCTGGCGGGTTCCCCTGGACAGTGTGAGTGGAAGGGATGGTTTGTATCCAGCTAGCTTTGCTCTAAAGCCTCTTTATCTTAGAATTGGATTGCTGTTTGTTCAGTTGGTGTTGTTCTGGACAAAAGACCTGAGGTTGAAAGTTTGAAAACTTATTTTGGCTGCCACCTTGGAAAAGAAGAACTCGAGCTGGGAGCTAGGAACTTGCGCCTCATTTATAATCACATTCTCTCATGCCAAGACGGGCCTGTCTTCTCCTCCCATTTGATCCTGGAAAAATACATAGACTAGATGCATGTTCTTTAGGGACCTTATTACTTTAAGTGAATATTTCAGTTTTCTTTTACTCAAAGTGTGCCATGAAATTCAGAAGCTAATGAGAAACGGCAGCTACAACGCCCAGGCTTATGGTTGGACCACGTTATTTGAATTTATTTCTTTTAAGTAATGTCAGATGGTAAGGCTGCTTATATTAATTGGGTTTCTCATCTAAGCCCATCTGGTTCATAGCTTCTTTTTTTTTTTAATGTGATAAACATGTTACTTAGTGGATACACATAGAGGCACTTGAATTTCAGAGATCAAAGGTAACAGGATCAAACTTAACTTTAAAATATGAACATAAAAGTTGCTCATTTTTGCCCAAAACATGTCTGTAATACTTTATGTTCAATTGCTTTATTTGAGCTCTTTATCAATACCAGCTCTCCCTGAGATTTTTGTACTCTTTGAACATCTCAGACTTGGTTTATTTCTTTTTATATAATTACATTGTTTTCCAAGAAATTAAAACAAAGGTAAGATAATGTATCAGGTAGTAATTTATCAGCATTTTAGGTATTGTGTATTTGTCTCGTGTACTGTGTCAGAGAAGAGTCATAGTTGAAAATTGCACTATGACTGGTAGAACACAGCGTTGTTTTCAACTGGTGACAGTGTGTCAACCCCCCCCCCCTTCCCGGGGACATTAGGCATTGTCTGGGGACATTTTTGGTTGTCCCTGTTGTGGGCGGTGGTACGCTCCTAGCATCTAGTGGGTAGAGGCTAGGGATGCTGCTAAACATCCCAGTTCATAGGACAGCCCCCCGCTGCAAAGAATGATCTTGCCCAAAATGTTACTGTTGTGAGACTCTGGAGTAGAGAAAGCACTGTGTTTAGTGGCATGGAGCCTTCCTTTATTCGGGTGGCATTGTTTTAAGTACATTTGAATAATGAGGACTTAGAGCTTGAGGAGCTGTTCCTTTCTCTTGTGGTTTTTAGGGAGGAAATGTACCTTGCCTTATGGGTAAGAGCACTGCTGGCCTTATGGGTAAGAGCACTGCTGGTCCTGGTTCCTTTAGATTCCTCTGAAGGTAAAGTCATGATATTGGATATTTCAACAGCTGCCTGAGTGCGTCAGCTCTGCAGGTGGAATTTTAAGCATATGCCCCACAAGAACCTGGATCTGCTCCCTGAGGGTAAATTGCGACAAACTCAATTTTGTAGGTTTTCTGCTTCCCAGGAATTCTTTGAGGTCATCTACAACTTTGTACACATCCAGAAATTAGACCTCTCCACATTTTCCTGGCTGCAATCCTAGACTCGGTCTTGTAGTTCCTACACTTAAAAACATCCAGCCTAATAGAAAAATAAATGTCCTTGTCAAAACAAAACCAAAGCCCTACAATCGCCAGCATTCTTTACAGCTCCATTGAAGTTAGGAAAGAAAGTTGGAAGCAGATTACCATGCCATGCCTAGGAGACTAAACCCAGTTTGGATCCTCAGATGTCCTCACCTCCTGTTATTCAGGTTTATTCCTTGCCTAGCACCAATTTTTTCTTGAGTGCCTTTTGTCAGTGTAGGTGCTGATCAGTGAAGGTGAGCTGGAAGACCTCTATGGAGACATGTTAATTAAGATACAAGATGTTTATTAAGCAGTATTTTCTAAAATGGAAGGGATGAATTGGAGCCTGCTTTTAATAGAACAGGGAAATGCAAAGACCCTGAGGCAGGTGAGTCTTAGTAACTTTAAGGAGTAAAGAGGGACCAGTGGGGGTTTTGATAGGCAGGGTATTGCCCTGCTTCCGGGAGTCCACACTTTAATCCTGAAACCTGTGAATATATTACTTTACATGACAAAAGGGACTTTGCAGATATGATTCAGTGACTTTAAAGTCAGGAATCAGGGTATTCTAGTGCAGGGGTTGGCAAACTTTTGAGACAGAAGAGCCAATCCTGTTTTGCGACACTTATAAAACAAATGAAATCACCATTATGTGAATAATATTCTTTAAAAATTTTATAAGTGAAACTATGATAGATTTATTTTCATTTTCGATTTTACTTCAGAGCCACATGTACGTCGCGAGCCACAGTTCGCCGACCCCTGTTTTAGTGATTAAAACACTGGAATCAGAGTGTCCTGTTCTAGTTCTTCCATGGCTACTCAACTTTGTGTTGTCTATCTCATCACAGTTAGGACGGCTTCTAGCCTATCCTAAATTTCCTGCCTATCCCATACTCTTTCCCTGTTCTGTGATTGGTCATTTAAGTAAACGTTCCTGTAACACTGATAGGGATTGAATCATTCAGTGTTTCCACTAATAACCAAAGGTGGAGTTAACGCAAAGAGAAAGCTCCACATAAAAACTCTGCGTGCTCCATTACAGCGCAGGTTCATTGCATGTTTGTTGTCTGTGGTAATTAAAATCTTGTTTATTACAATAAGAGATCGCAGGAGTTGTTGATTCAGACTTATTGGTGCTTTATGAGTTGAAGTCTTCAGTAAGCTTAACTGATCCAAATTGATTGTGTGTGCCCGTTCCAGTGAAACCCACAGCTGGTTCATTTCAGCTCTGTCTAGAGCATCTTAGCAAGTGAATAGAGGCAAAGACATTTTCCCTAATACATACCAAGTATGCATAGCCATATGGTGCAGGTCTGCAATCTCTTAGCGGAAACCCTTGAGGCCAGATGTTTTAGAATTCGGAATCTCCTTTTTAGAAAGGTATTAGGTGCATATGCCGTTTTATTACAGAGGACAGGTAGGATCTGAGACTATACATACCCCTAGGATATATTGATATTTCTGCAACATGAAGATGAATAGTCACACTAAGTAGGAAACGTCAATATTCTAAATAGCGTTTCACCTCTTCACATCAGGTTTTACCACTAAATTACTTTTTTGCACCAAAATCATAAATAGCAACAATAACAAAATACCTTTTGTCCTAGAAGCTTTTGAGATTTCATGATCACTGATGAAGGACTGATGGACCTGGGTTTGAAAATCTGGTTCCATAGCATGGCACCACTGATTTATGTCCCAAAGAGCATGGGTTAGTTACAGCCATGCCACAAGCACACTGAATTATTTGTCTGCCTGGTAGGCTAGATGTGTCCAGGCACTACTCTCATCTTCCTCCCTGCTATGTTGTGACATTGTACAAAATTCTTAGTCAAAGTTAAGGTTTGTCCAGGGGCAGAAAGCTGCTAGTCTTCGGCTGACCTTGTTCTGTGATTCATTTCTACGTTAACATTCTGTTTGGGTCCACAGCCGTATTTTTTGTGAAAGGGA